TTTCTCGCGGGGGGGGGGGGGGGGTTGATATTTTCAGTTAAACCATCTGGCAACCCTATCCTGGCACAGGGCCTGCGCCTTGCTCCCAGCATTGCTTTGCTTCATGTTAGCTAACAGCGGACAACACTTGGCGAGGTGTCATGCCTCACGCTGGGCTTGTGCTACATGGGTCCTCCTCTTACTACATCACCATAGAAAAGCGTTTAGTTTCTTCTCAGTCCCTGGTGGCGACCGCGTCGGTGGTCCTTTGCGCCTGTTTAGCCCTCTGAAGAAGAGTTTTTGTCAGAGTCTGAGAGACCTGACCGGATCGTATTTGTCAGTGTTTCTCCCTGAGCGGTGTGCGGACCAGGGATGGTCTTGAGGGGTCTCGGGTAGGATACGTCTAGACTGCAGGCGTCTTTCAGAAGAAGCTTTTCCGGAAAAGCTTCTTTCGAAAGAAAGTGTCGACACAGCAAAAACGCAATGAAAACGTGATGTGCTTTTTTTTGAAAGCGAGCGTCCACATGGATTGGACGCTATTTTGCATTTCAGTTGTGATGACTGTGGATGGAGTAGCCACCAGGACACCTGTGCTTTTTCCTGGAGGCCTCTTCTTTCGAAAAAACACTCTATTCCGCGTCCACACACGCCTTTTTCCGAAAAAGCTTTTTCGGAAAAGGGCTTCTTCCTCATAGAAAGAGGTTTACCGCTGTCGGAGAAAACCCTCCGTTCTTTTGACTTTCTGTCAAAAGAACGCAATCGCCGTGTGGGCGTAAGGATTGTTTTTCCGGGAAAACGGCCGTTTTTCTGGAAAAACGCTGCAGTGTAGACATACCCATAGAGATTGGGAAGGCAGCCAGCTGGTCTGTGGTACCGAAAAGTGGAGCAACCGTTGCGGTCGGTTTCGTTGCAGGATTCTCTTTTTGTGTTTGCCGCAGATTTGTGATGAGCGATTGAATAACCGGACCTGAAAAAGGGGAAAAGAACCGGCTGGACCTGTCAGAGACGGGTCCGGGTTTCCTTGGTCCTGCCTCAGCGTGGGGGACTGGATTTGGGGACCTCCCAGCCCGAGGTGCCCGTGAAAACGGGGACATGCGGATTCCGCCGCCCCTACTTTTATCCTGGTCCTTTCGTCTCCCCTCAGTCCCGCCCCATGGCCCTAGCTGGGTGCCTGGCGTTGCCTCTGAGACGGTCTGTCCCTCTGTGTCGATGCAGGCGAGTCGCCATGAATGCGCATCCCAGGCGCATCCGCCTGAAGCCCTGGCTTATCGCCCAGGTGAACAGCAACCAGTACCCTGGCCTGCAGTGGGTGAACCCCGAACGCAAGCTGTTCTGCATCCCCTGGCGCCATGCCACCCGGCACATCCCCACGCAGGACGACGAGAACACCGTCTTCAAGGTGAGCGCCCGGGGCACGCCGGGCTGGGGAGGGTAGCCCTCGGGGCACAGGGCACCCTGCTGGCTTCATAGCCACTACACTAAGCTCCAGAGGTGGGAAGTTCAAATCCACCCGGTGGTGGTTACACTGGGGCGTGCCAGGGGTACTCCGCCCCCTGGGGACAGCATAACCCCAGTGTCCCACAATGCCCCCGGGACGAGCCCTGGCTCGGGTCAGTTCTCTGCTGTGCCAGTGTGCGGTCAGTTTAATTCCAGAGGGCAGTGCGCCCTAGTGGTTAGGTCTCGGGTGGTGTTTGCTGCACCTTGCAGCAGATGGGAACCCAGAGCTCGGTGCCCCGAAATGCCGAGCTGCTCGGGTGCCTCTTGAGGTGTCTGTCTGAACGGGCCTCAGTTTCCCCAGTGAAACGGAGCTAATTGTACCCAGCTGGCGGTGTTGCTGCCAGCCGGGCCGGGACGTGCGGCATTTATCCCAGCCAGGCTCACCGCCTGCCGGTGCATGGGGCGTGTCGGGACACTGTGAGCGGCCCGCCCCGGCTGTGCAGGGGGGGAATCTTTCATCAGCTGAGCTGCCAGGCGAAGGGCCGGAGCATGTGCGGAGGTGCACCCAGGCTCCGGAGGGGGCCCTTTCTCAGGCTCCGGACCCAGACCCAGGGTTGGACTTGACCTGTGTCTGCCCCCCCGCCAGGCCTGGGCCAAGGAGACGGGCAAGTACAACGAAGGGGTGGACGAGCCCGACCCCGCCAAGTGGAAAGCCAACCTGCGCTGCGCCCTCAACAAGAGCCGGGAGTTCAAGCTGATCTACGACGGCACCAAGGACACGCCCATGCAGCCCTACAAGATCTACGAGGTGTGCCCGGGCCCCCAGCCCGACGGAGGTACCCGCAGCCGGGCCGGGGGGCGGGGAGCCCCCGACCCCGCCAAGTGGAAAGCCAACCTGCGCTGCGCCCTCAACAAGAGCCGGGAGTTCAAGCTGATCTACGACGGCACCAAGGACACGCCCATGCAGCCCTACAAGATCTACGAGGTGTGCCCGGGCCCCCAGCCCGACGGAGGTACCCGCAGCCGGGCCGGGGGGCGGGGAGCC